GTGATTTGGATACAAAAGGCAGAAGGGAGGAAGGAAAGAATGGGGAGGGAGGCAATGCTGGGAGAAGCAAAAAATAAAGCAGTAAATCCATAGGAACAAAGGGGTCATAAAAGCTAATTCAGGTAATGGGAGGAAAAATCCATGGTCTCTGTTTAAACCATACTGAACACAATCCAGTCTATGGATGATTTCTTGTTCCACAAGTTCCCATTCAAATTGTTGTTTAACAGTTTGCTGCCTAAGAACAGCCACCCTCAGGTCAGTGATGGAATATCCAGGAAGGTCAAAGCGTTCTGCCACAGGCCTTGTCTTTCTGGTTCTGATGTCACATTGGCGTTCATTCATTCTGACACATAGGGATCACACCGTCTGTCCAATGTAAACAGCAGAGGGGCACTGTAAGCAGGTGATGTCATATATACATTAGTAGAGGTGCTGGTGAATGAACCTTGGATGTTATAATCCATGCTATTCTGTCCAGTGATGATGTAGTCTGTGGGCTGGGACCTGTCTCTCCCCTGCAGCTCTTTCCAAGTCCCCTGCCCTGTATCAGGGAGCTGGGGCCTGGAGCTGCCTGCTGCCGGGGCAGGGGGACTTTGTCCCTGCCCTGGCAGCAGGCAACCCCCCTGGGAGCAGGGTGCAATGTCCCAGCCCCACCAAGAGACGGCTGTGTCCTGGCCCAGTGCTCCCTGCCAGCCCCTGGACTAGCACCCAGGGGGGCCTTAGAGCTCCCCCTGGTGGTGACAGGGGCCCACTGCAGGACCCCAGGAAATGGGAGCAGTTTGATGCCATTAGCAGAAAATCTGCTCCCACTTCCCTGCACATGTAGACACCTACCTGGGAACCTTTACTCACAAGTAGTTTACTTTTGAGTAAATTACTTGCACATCAGTTGCACATGTAGACACATCCAGTATCTGATGAAGGGAGTTTGAGCTAATAAAATCTTATGCTATATATATCTCTAATTTAGTTCGTTGATACGATGCAAATCTTCTGCCTGACTTCAGACTAACACAGCTAACTACCTTTATCTCACTAACGTCCATTGACTAAGATGATAACATAGCATCTACCCACACAGGACTGATTGGAATATCAGGCTCTCGGACTGTCAGCTCCTCCAGCCTGAGTTTTGATTTTTTTGGTTTTGTTTTTCAATTGGTCTGCAAAGCATCATGCACATGCACATCTGTGGCCTCAAAGAATTAAGGAAAAATTTTAGCATCACATGCAAAAAAGAGGGAAAAAAAAATCACCTGTGTGTTAGTACAGCCTTAGGCTGATATAATCCTAGCCATCAGTAAACTGATGTAAAACAGGAGTATCACAGTGGTGAATTGGGCTGACTGGTTTCCACTCACATTATTATATAAATTATGGCAGCCCAAAGGTAATTAGTAGAGCCTCTCTAAAGGCATGATCTAATGTCCACTGACATCAGTGAAATTACTCCCTTTGCCTTCAATTTGTTTTAAATCACTTAATCTAAGAATTCAGTTTTAAACAATCATATTATAATTGTTAGAAACAATTCATATTTCTGACCCATGCAACTGGACTTCTCCAAAAGAGCTGGGAGGAAATCATATGGTCAACTTCTGGATCCGTAGCAATTTTATATTTGTTTAACAACACTGGTTTCTATCAGTTTATACTAATTTATGTAGGACTGTAGGGCCATATTCAGACTTTTCCAGTTTTTGCTGTACTGATATAGGGAAAAGAAAATTGATGGAAGCTTTTAGCTCCCTCTTATCTGAATCTTTTTTTTTTTTTATTTTGAGTATAACATGCCCAGACTTCACTATTTATATAATTTCTCCAGTTGTTACATCAATCAATGTGTATGTAAAAACAAATCACAAAATTATGGTTATTCTTGGTACTTTTGACAGAGCACTGTAAGGAACATTATATTCCTAAGCACCTTCCACAGACCGCATTTAAGCTTTCTTAGTCAACAAAAGATCTCAAACTAAGTTGCATTTTTCGTTCTTCACCTTCGGTAGCTTATTTCTTTTGAGAAAAAGTGGAACAGCATCTTGGCCCGAGTTCGCTGATAGCACTTCTTTTGTTTCAACAGTATCGTCAGCCAAAAAATAGTGTAGAATAAGTTCTCGTGGCACCCCAAACATGGACTCAGTGTCATCCCATGTACAGTAAAAGCGTAAGACATGCCCATCATGCTCTAGAAACTGTCTCAGAGTGTCGAAGCACTCGTAAGGGCGTAAGGGCTTCATACTATCTGCAATCTGCAGGAGAAATAAAAGGAGGGTTGGATTCTTTTTAATTACTTATTCTTAACTCCAGAAAAAAATCAATATAGTATATATATAAACATGTTCTCAGATTAAAGGATTTCCAATGATATCACACAGTTATGACAAATCAACCACAATATGGACACCATTGCCAAAGAACATTTTTAAAAGAAGTTATATTCTCAGAATACTTTTGAAAGCAGAAATTACTTTTAGACTGAATCCTTGTTTCTCCTGCTGGAACACGTCTTTCAGATCAGAAAATTGTCACATCCTTATTAATAACATATGGCTAAAGCTTCATTAAATTGCCTCTGGTACTCACATGGCTGCCTCATAATAATTTCACCCTCCCCGATTTCCTTGAAGATACTTCATATCAGTAATTGATGGTGAAGAAAGGTTGACTGCTTCATACTTACTGTATTTTCTTGCATACAGATGCCCCCAAATAAGACATATACCATGTTTCAGAAGGCAGAACACATTAGCATATTAACATAAAAAGAAGCAAGGGGTTTTGGTAATATGTTATTGCCACAGCACAGTTTTATCATGGCTGAATATTCCCAGGTACATGCAAGAGGGTTGGACTCCTGTTCTCAGTGGCCATGTCTACACAATCAACAGACTGCACAGTTGTTACTGTGCATTAATTTAGTACTTTCATAAACAAGTACTAAATGACTGCGCTGTAGCCAGCATTACTGAGCAGTACTGTCCCTATGCTTTTTTTCCAACACTGCTGCATAGTAGCAATGAGTTGGATTAAGTGATTCATTGCTACTGTGCAGTAGTGTCTCGTGTAGACACACTCAGTGTCACTCACCTTCTACCTCAAGCTTCAAAGCTCAAGCTTTAACCCTGTCATAGCTGCAGATGAACTGGTGTCCCCATGCCTCCAATCCAACATAGAAATCAACTTCCCTGCTTAAATTCAGCACAGAAATCAGCTTCCTCCTTTAAATCATGCACCTCAGTTTTGGATGGCTAATTTTTTGAGAAGGAACATAAGGTATGCAAATAACTATGGTAATATTTTTATCTTAACAGAATTATTTAAAATGAGGTATATAGTCCTTTTAGCTTCCAGCAATTGCTATAAGCTGTATCAAAGGAAAAATATATCTCAGTTAACATCACATCTGACAGGTTATAGTTTGCAGTCATGGGAGAACACTCCAGAATGGGAAGTGTTCTGTTAAATCCAATCCAAAGTTTTAGACCTTATTCAAGATTATATTTATGTGCTTGTTTAATTTTAGGCATGTTCCAAAATGTTCTGAAAGGGGATACTTACCTAAATCAAGAAGGTTAATTATTCAAAGCTGGATTAAAAGATGGTAGAATGTTCTTTTTACTTTGCAAAAATTAAACAGTTGCTTTAAAAATACAAAGCGTATTCAAAAGAGATGGTACAAACCAAGTTGTCTGAACTGAAAGAAATGTTGAGAGGGGACTTGCATGTGCTGGCTTCCTTTTGTGTTTCAGTGGGCATGTCTACATGAGACACTAACTGCACAGTAGCTTAATAACACTGCACAGTAGCATGCCAGGCAAAAACTGTGCTAATACACTACTTCACAGTAAGCATCACTACGAACTCATGCACCACTGCTACTGTGAAGTAACGCAAATTAGTTGATTTAATACTTAGTTATCCAAATACTAAATTTAATGTGCAGTAACTACAGTCCATTAATGAACATGTAGACACGCCCAGTGAGTTTATCAGGTTTATTCCATTTCTAAAACAAATGTGTAAATCAAGATACAAAGCCACTGGGTCAGATGAGGACATGTTCTCTCACCTTACAAATATAATGGGCTAACAGGCCAATCTTTCTTAAGAATTTTTTTTCTAGAGACAACTTGAAAATTTAAACCAAATTCTGCTGATCAGTGGTGATACTGATATTTGTCTACATTTTAATTCTAGCCACTGGAGTCCCCTGTGGTTCAGAGGTAGAATCCATGTCTGCCACACAGGAGACTCAGGTTTGATTTCCGTACACTTATACAACTACAACCATAGAGGTATCAAATGTCTGGACTCAGTCTGGCTTCTGCATTCTGTCTCAAATGGCCTAAAGGGGGGATGTAAGGTCTGAGCACCCTCCACTCCTCCATACTCCTGCATATGCATATGTGTTGAAGGCCTGGGTGACCTTTCACACATATACCATGATCTGGAAGGATCGATGGTCACCAAAACCAAAACCATCAAATTCTAGCCAATCACACTACATGTTGATATTTACCATGGCACTACTGGGCCTTCTTTTCCAAATCCTGAAAGATTTTGTGACTAAATGAAACAAAGAAAGAGGTCCATCTACATGGCTGTGATCTGGGCAACTGCAGAGATGTATCTAAGATTCTTGCTACACAAATGCTACACACATTTTTCATCACCAAGCCAGGCGCAGCTTGGTGAATTCAGACTGGTGGGGCAGGTGGAGCATCCCATGGGAGCGAGAGCGGGGTGGTTTGCAGCCAGCCAGCAGCAGCGGGGGGGGAGGGTTGCAACCAGCTGGGAGCAGAGGGAGTTTGCAGCCTCCCCGCTACTGGCCAGAGTGCCCGGATGGCTGAAACTCCCTCCCCCGCCCCTCCCCACCCCAATTCCTGGCCGGCTGCAAAACCCCAACTCCTGTGGGATGCTTCACCCACTCCACCAATCAGAATTCACCAGCCATGCCTGCACCAAGCTTCTTCTCCTACTTATTTCATTGTTGTTCTTTTTCTGCCTCCTCCTGATTTAAACCTTCTTACCTGGTAAACAGAAGATGAACCTTTCTCAAAGTAGTCTTGAGCAGTCCAAACATAATAAAGCAAGCGATTTGCTGTTCACAAACTAGTCACAGGAAATTAAATCACAAAACCACCTAGAATTTGCTCTTACTGGGTGCATCTACACATGCACATTTACCGCGTAGTAACTGAAATTACTGCGCAGTATGGGCACGTGTCTACATGTGCACACCCATACTGCGCAGTAAGTATGGTGATTTACACTGACTTGAGTGCAAATTTGATACCTGCATCATGCAGGTATCAAATTTATGCCTGATTAGTTACTGCACAGTAATGCATGTGTAGACCGATTAGGTACTGCGCAGTAATGCCTTACTGTACAGTAACACTGTGTGTGTGGACTGACTTGGGACTAACTTTAGTCCCAAGTCAGTCCACACACAGCATTAATGCACTTTAATACCTGCACATGTAGATGCCAGACTATTCCCGCTTACCTTGCAGTAACATACTGTGCAGTAAATTTAAGCCCGCGAAAATGCACGTGTAGACATGCCCAATGTACCTATATTTTCTAACAACTGAACTACTAGCATTAAAACAGAAACTTCATTTTCTTTTTTCACATTATTTCTTACCTGTCTCCTCCTTTGAGTACATTGGTTATATGCCATCATAAAAGGACTTTTTAATAAGAGTCATGAACAAGTATTCAGGCAGGTCACTGATATCATATAATGACTTGTCAACACTAGGATAAATAATTCTGCATTTGTAAACACTGTAAGATTAAGACAAAGGCACCTTAGGGACATTCCTAAGGTCCTGCCTTCTACAGTATGAAGATCACTTCAAAATTTCAGCTTTTAATTAGGAATGGGGACACCAAAGCCCTGCAGTTATGTAGAAAAAGCTTGAGAGCACAGACAAAGTATAACTGATGCTGAGCTCTCCACTAGTGACTATGAACAGCCAAAAATAACCTTCTGTGCGGGCCGGGAGCGGTCCGAGGCCCTTTTTTCGCGCGGCGGGCTGTGACCAGCAGCCTGGACACGCTGGGTCAGGGAAGGCAGGCGGCACGCTAGAATTAGGCACGGGCGCTTAATGGTTGATTTAAGATTTTTTACTTACACCGTAGATGGTCGTGGTGCAGGCTGGAAAACTTCCAGGAAAACTTCGCTTAAGTCCCAGTTTAAGGACTCGGACAGAGCTCTGGATTCACCCACACGAAGTTTGCTAGGCTCCGTGGAACTTGCGCGCAGGGAAGGGTACGTCGAGGGATTAGGCGGTGATGGGGAGAGGCGAGAGGCTGATCAGACCCCTGTAGCCTTCTTGATATACACGCTGGGTCCAATAGGCTCCGCAGCGCCTAGAGATCTTCACGAGACGTGAAGTCTCCTCCTCCTGATGTTCGTGGAGTCCTCCAACTTGGGCAGAAAACACTCAAGCCTTTTATACGGCTAGCAAACCAATCGCTAGCCGCCACGTAGGAATAATTTAGAACTGACCAATAGTGGGGCACGAATCTGAATACAAATGGCGGGAACTCCTTGCAACGTGCATTTCTGTGTTGCAAAGAAAAAATGCACCCTGCAAAGAAAGCTACAAGTGGCGGGAAATAATTCAGCAGTGCCGAAGCGCACACAAACAAAAATCACACCCTTGGGTTGTGACACCTTCAAGATATGCAAAATGCCCCATGCATCTCAACAGGGCATTTTCCATTTTTACTGACAAGAAGGAGCCTCAACAAGAGAAAGATGAGAGAGGCAGGCAAATATGTGGGGTCCATATTAATTGGTATTTCCTTGGCAGCTGGTAGGAACTCTGACAACTGGCTCACCTCTCCCATTGGGGAAATGATAAACATAGCCCCCTCGCCTTTCTCACTCCCCATCTTTCTCCTTCCACCATCCCCAAAACCAATGCTTACCAAGAAGGGAAAGGAAAAGGGGAAAGACAATGTGGCCCCCCAAAAGTAAAGCAGGGAAAACTACAATTCCCACTACTGCAATTCCTACTACTCTTCCTTGAAATTTTGGGAAAAGGAGTGGAGACATCTACAAAGTGTTCAGAGCTGATAGGTGATAGATGTGTATGTCTACATGAAAGAAGCAAGGATTTCTTAGGACGGTATCTTTTACTGGACCAACTGCATAGGTGGGATAGAGTTAGGCAAGCTTTCGAATGCAAGACTTCCTCTATGAGGTCTACTTGTCTACATGCAAGAGAATATGCATAGGTTAAAATGAGTGCTGGAAGTACATGAAAGAGAGGGTGTCTCAGGCAAGGTTGAGATATAAGAATCTGTTTTTATACATGTAACGGTGTAACATTATACATGTATCTCATGTATATATTTGAAGGTAAATGGGACCAGAGATGAATGATGACATAGCAAGAGGCCCAAACAAAAAAAGTCTACTGAGAGCTACAGATGTGCTTGAACTACAGTCCCAAATAAATCTGCCTTTAAAAGTACATATTAGCACTAAAAGAACGAAGGGTTTTCTTGGTAATATATTTTATTCAATAGTCGGGAGGTATTTTAGACAAGCTTCTAGGCACAAAGTGACCTTCCTCAGGTATGGGAAAGAAGCAGAAACATTTATTAATTATGCATTAATGCTGAATGTATTAGTACAAATTGAGACCGAGCAGAAACAAAAGCAGATCATCTAATAGTTCTGAAGGTTTTCAACAACTGGCACTGAGAAATCCAGGGAAAAAAGAAGGGCAGGGGGAAAACTACTATTATGATGAGTTTGAATATAGGAGTAGACATTAGGTTAACCTGGCATTATGACCCCAGACTGCAGTTTAAGAAATGTTATTCCATCTAATTTAATTCCCTGTGTAATTTCAATTTGCTATACTTCCTGTCCTAAAAAGCTATCAACTAATGGGCAACCTTCAATAGTTTCCATGCAGAGGAAGAGAAATATCCATGGAGATCAAAATAGTTGTTATTTCTCCTTTACTTATTTTACATGGGATTTATGAGTTCCATTTGACATCTGTCAGGTGTCTTAATATTGCCAGCTAAAAGGCAGTAGAGAAGTGTAAATATTATACACATGCAATGCACTGCAATGCAATTTCTATTTTCACTGGATAATCTGAACAATAAATATTATCTTCCCAGTTCAAAGAACAACTATTCAAAGCATTTCATTTCATGCTTACACCATTTATTTTCACTGGCCCATCAACTATTATTTACAGATAAAAACAATCTATCAAAATTCACAGTAGCTACATGTCTTGTAAGTATTAGCAGTTAAGGTCTGCTGTGGTACACAAAGAATTGAAAAGAACAATGACTCTAATAAATCTGAACCATGCCATAGAGCTCTGAGAGTAAACCATGTTATGTAGATAGTAAATATAATATTGCACAAGAATGTAAATACAGAAGTTGAAGATAATTTCAATCCTTGGTTATTGTTTTTTCAGTAATAGATAAGAACAGTTTTATCAAACAAATACACATACAACAGAGATTACTTTCATTATTTCACAAGGAGCCTTCATCCTTGGTAATCCCCAAATATTTCCCATGTTTCAAAGCAGATCTATACTAAATGCAAGTTTTCTATTCTATTTTATAATTTTTTATAGTAATTACAAAATTAATTAATATATTTAATTTAATTAGTTTTCAATGCATTTTAATTTGTTTCAGAAGATCATATTATATATACATAAACATTACATATTAATTCAAACAAAAGATTTGTTGTTGTTGAAATCAGATTTTCACCATTACTGACTGGTCTCACCTTTTGCCGTTCCATAGTGTATGGGTCTTCTGGACGATATGCTGGAGGATTTAATCTTACTCCCAACTTCCTCAAAAAATTTTTTGTGAATTGATCACAATCTACAATTTTATATCTTCGCGAATAAAAGATGATGTCTGTGTTAATATTGAAATAGTCTATAGTATAGAACTGATCTTCATGAGGTGGTGGAAGTGGAATCCGATGGCGCCTGACAATAGTTCCTATTTAAAATATAATATTATAAAGATCACATTTCACATGAATCTAGGACATTGATATTATTTAATAAAGATGAAGAAGAACCTACATAAATATCAGAGATAGTGAAACAATTATTTCTTGTTCAGCAGAGGAATATAACACTGTAACAACACAATATAAAGCAGGATATTTTTTATTTAGAATACAAATACTGCAAATTTATCACCTTTCTATGGATTGAAAATCAGTTCCAGCTACTGAAGTCACCATTCACACCAATGTGAAGGTAAAAAAAAAAACATTTTCCAAAACCGGGGCCCACCAGAAGTTACTGGAATAGATTATCACCTGCAGAACCCAGGTCCTAGAATATACATAGGAATTCCCCTAAATTGGCATTCTGGAGCTGCTGACCATCCAAAGCCTCTGCTAAGAAGTTATAGCTGCTGCCCATATTTTTAGTGACCAGTAATTTTCTAAAAACAAAAAAAAAAACGAGACAGAAAAATTATACAACTAAATGGCAAAACGGTGATGAAAGTGATGGAGATGCCTCTACTGGCTGTGCAGTCCCCATCTGAGTCTGGCAGGTGCGCAGCAGGTCACTGCCAGACTGCTGCAGTGGGTAGAGGGTGCAGGGAACTCTCAGGGCTACTTCAGCACTCCAGCTGGCACAAGGGGTAGTGTCCCCAGGTACCAATTGGCTGGGCCCCAGAAGCTCCTGAGAGCAAGTAGCCCTGAGCTATTTGCCAGGGCAGCTTTTTGTACTGGTGGGGCCAGGACAGGGCAACTTTTTATACTGCTGGGGACAGCACAGGTGCTGGCCCTGGGCTCTAGCTCCCCCTGGCTGCAGATCCAGGAAGGGTTATTTTGCCCCAGGTGGCACAATTGCCCCACACCAAAGTGAATGTCTGGGCATGTGCACTGAGGCAAAAAGCCCTGACTCAAATTTGTACCGCTTCTATTTGAGCTGCTCCAAGTGCATATCCTTGCACATGTGGACATGCCCTACAGAGTAAAGAAAGAAGAGCAATTTCTCACTGGGCATGTCTACATGTGCAATTATTGTGACTAGTTTACTCTGGTTCAAATTGAGCCAGAGTATATTTAATCTCAAGGTCACCATCTACATGTGCTTTTAAGCACAGTAATTTACTGTGCTTCCAGATACCATTTGTATCTGATGGGACTATCTAGCAGTGCAGTAAATTAGTCTACTGCGGCCTATTAACCATGCATGTGTAGATGGTAATGCTTTACTGTGCAGCAAATTAGTCTACTGAGAAGTAAAATGTCTCATGTAGACATGCCCACTGCTACATAATATTTAGCTCTCCTCAGGAAAACTGCCTGAGCTATTAAGAATGTGGCTGTTGGGGAGGTGCCTTCATGTGAAGTTCATTAAGATGTCTGTTAAAAGAACAATGACTTGGAGTCAATCTTATTTCCTGAGGAACTCATCTATATTCCAGGGCTATATTCTTAGCCAAGAATCTCCTGGTGTCAAAAAAAACCTGCACACACAAAAAAAAAAAGCAGAGCAGCCCATGCAGAGGGGTAGCATTTGCCACTTAAAGCCAGAGCCTGGCCAGCCGGAGCCATGCTCTGGTTGCCCACCAGGCTCTGTGCAGCAGGATTGCTGCTGCTGCTGCAGCCCTAGGAGGCCCCCCGAACTGCAGGTAAGGCTGCTGGGGCCAGCCCAGTGCTGGCCCCAGCCTTCTCTACCTGACCCAGGGTAATCTGCTATGTGCCAGAGGGCACGTGGCACAGTCTGGGGACACAAGGTGTGCTGCTGCTAGTTTTCCCTGGGGAACCAAATATCCACACTTGTGTGGACGCAGCCTGTGTGTGCAATATTGCATCTCCATTAGTGAGATGTATTATGTTAGAAGATATATGAACTAGTGGCTGCAAATACTAATAATTAGTGCCTTGGATAGACAGGAACAGTTCAGAGTTACAACATGTTAACTGCCATTATCAGTGTTTGGGCCTCCTGTAGAGTTAACCACAACTAGCTCCCACCCATTTAAATACTGTCCTTGAACTCAGAAAGAGTTCACACATGATTGTTTACACACAATCATGTATAATTATCATGCTAGTTAAAATATATTAGTTTTCCAACACAATGAGTTTTCCCAGTGTAGATAAGGCCTCAGAATCAGAGAGTGGGCTTTCATTTAGCTTTTCATGGACCTTGTTACAGCTCACAATACACATACCATGTTTGTCCTGGGTAGACAAGATTTTCTTTACTAATGGAAAATGTGTTGTAGAAATAATGTCAACGGCACTGTTTGGTTTTTTTAGCTACTACTAAGCCTGATCCTCAAGTTAATTATGAATTTTATATTTTTGAGTTTGGGCTTTAATAATACTTGTTCAGCTCAAATTCAGTTTAAGAACTTTTTATTTTTTTTAATCATCACTCTTTCTGGAAAAGAACATTTTCCCATCAATAAATTTGCCAAAAGAACTTGTAACAAGAGGTTTCATACATCATCTGAGACAGATGTCACTTCATAGCATCCAAAAGACTCTTCCATTCTGATGCCTTTTTACTTTCCATTTCTGGTCAGCGGGTGCATCTACACAAGATGCTTAATGTAGATTAGACTAATTCTACTGCGCATTAGCATGGTTGGCAAAAACTCTGCTGATATGCTAGTGTGCAGGAGACTTAATCTAATGCACATTAATGTCACATAAAGCATTTATCTACACTAATGCGCAGAAGTGCTGATTACAGCACATTAAGTTTAGTACCTGTTATTACAGGTACTAAACTTAATATGCCGTAATTATGGCACATTAATGAATGTGTAGATGTGCCCAGTAGGGCCAGCTCTCTCCACTGTTATGGTCTTGTTTGAGGGAATTGGACTGCACCTTCTCTTCAGACTGTGGGGCTGGCCCTCATTTCTACTAAGCGCTAGCTTCAAACATCAAAATACATTTTTCTTCTCCCATAATTGATTACCCATGATCATGCTGAAGCCCAGAAGACAGGTAGTTAATATTAATATTATTATTATTATTATTATTAATAGAACTCCCTTGCCTGTATTTTTTGTTTTTTCTGCCTGAGTAAGTACAGTCTTATGGGAGACCTTTTAAATAGCAAAAAAACAGAGAAGGAACCCTTAGGGATAGACTATGATCTTATCAAATAAGGCTCATGGAACAAAGCAGGGAATACAATGTGTCAAATGTAGTCTTTGCTTCCGCCTACTTCACAGTTGAAGGAAGCAAGGCTGGCACTTTTCAACAATGTGGCACTGGGGAAATGCAAGGTGGGAAATTAGTGAGGTTCTGATTCTGCTCACTCCCAGCCCAAAAAAGGAGAGAGGGAGTCCAGCAGGCACTACACAAAAAGGGGGCTCCTTATATCTAATGACTCACCTGCATGAGCATGCAGCAAGGATCATGATCTGACCCTCAATAAATATAGAAGAATCTTGATTTTCCAAAGGTTTTGAGGGGCATCTTAATTTTCAGATAATAAGTGATTTAGCTGAGCCCAGGGAGATGTCTGCAAATTTACTTGTCTGACTGCACTTTGCTCTTCAACCAACCGGCCTTGGGACGCTAGCCAGCAGGCAGCTCCACTCTCCTTTTCAGCTGGCTGACCTTGGGGAAGCCAGCCAGCTGCTTAACTGTGCTCTGGATTGTTCACTGGAAGCTACAGTCAACCCACTGGGACATAAAAGACTTTTTGCTAACAGAGTGTCAGCTAGCCAGGGTTCAGTTAACTGGGGATTACAAAGCACATACTAGAACCACCATATCTTGCCTGACCCTGCACGTGGAGGGTTTCTATTATACTGTGCTATAATAAACACTCAGACTCTGGAGAAACGTAGGTGGAGTTTGTTATGCGTTTCCAAGATTATTGTCCTCTCCTTCACCCTGTGTCCCCATTTCTGTACTTAGTTCCTGTGTGTATTGATTATTTCAACATTTTTGCTTTTAGTCCAGGTTTCTCTGAAGTCAGTTCAAGTTAGTCTTTCAATTCCAGTGATTTAAATTTTTGCATTTAATTTCTTCATTTCGACAACATTGCTTCCAATATTTTTTTGTTCTACTCTGGGACTGGCATGCTCAAATTTTAGCAATGTATTTTCCAAAATTAAATCTGGTTTACAATATTTGTTCCTTTACAGCAGCCTCATTTACATTTTTTTTTCAAATTTACTTCCATGTACTGCAGTCAATTTCATAGAAATTGTCTAAAGTCTCTGCATCCACTTCTGGAGAAAGTGTACCTTCATCACTCCTTGGGGTTTTGATAATTGATAAGTATAGGTTTTATACTGTTCTCTTTTGTGACCTAATTCATTTAACTTTTGTAAACACATTATATGAGTTTAAAGTGTTTCTTTTTCTATTCCACCTTCCTTAGAGTCTGAACTCTGCACAAGACTTCATACCAGGTTCTTTTCCCAAGGAAGCCAACTACAACCACTGCTGAGAGCACAGCAAGTAATCTTCCAGCTTCCATTATTTCACTGTACCCACAGAATAACCCACTCACAAAAGAGCAGAGAGAGACTAATGAACACCTAAAAACCAGAAACCAAAAAATGGTTGCACCTGAAGGTCTAAGGCAGTGGTCAGCAACATTTTTAGGCTGCAGACCAAAGTAACACAGGGGCCACTTAACACCAGGAGAGGCAGCGTGTGAAATGCTGGGTTAAAAGAAAAGGATTCCTGGATTTTAGTCCTTTCTCTAACCCTCATTAAATGTATTTTTACAGATTATTAATAATTATATTAATATTATTAATTATTACCTACTGCTATGGGGAATGTAGTGATTAAGCAGCAAATATTTAATCCCGCCTCTATGTGAGACAGGATTACTTAGCTAGATGGCTTATCTTACGTTTGTATATTGATGTAAAACATACCAGAAGGACCACAAAATCCTCCAGAGGTTGAAAAGGCACAGTCATCCCCAGACTACCTGCTTACTTGGACTATTATCCTTTGCATATCTTTTTTTAAATGCTGGCAAACGCCCACAAATATCCAGAAGTAGTAGCTGCACTCCAGTTCTGATCCTGGACAGGCATTACATTTCTAAAAATTGCCAGTGTACAAGTGTTCATTTAGTTTCTCACAGAGGAAACATGCCCCATCTCTGAGAAAGATCTTTCACTTTGACTCTTGGCAGACCTACCCTATGTGAGTTTCTCTCGCTAGATTGAATGCCTGTACACTTCCACTTGATTCCTCTGTGATCGGAAGGAGTCAAGCAGTAGATTCTCCTGAGCCTTCCCAAGACCAGGGGACCCTGTGATCGGGAGGAGTTGAGCTGTCACTGTTCTCAGAGCCTTCCTCAGACGAAACAGACATATGCAGCCACTTTACATTTCCTTTTAGATGAACTAAGACTACAATGAAGAAAGGCTTAGAGGACTACAAAACAAAGGTAGGACTACTATAAATAGGTACCTTGTGGTATTCCACTATTTTTCACTTGAGGTTCTATCACTTGAATTGTATCATCTTCAAGGTAGAAGTATATTTTACAATGTCTTATTCTATACAGCTCCTGATTTTTGTCAGGCACTTCCTCCTCAAAATAGGCATCAAAAGACAATACCTATTAAAACAATAAAGAAAGAAATATAAAGGAGTAAAATTGTCACCCAAAGTGTTTGCAAAATATGTCAATAATGGAAAGCTGTATAGATTAAATTTTGAAAAATGAATGGATGTCAGAAGGCAGATTTATTTCACAGAAATATATGAATAGGAATCCACATAAAATCACATGAAGTCAGAATTCTTTGGTTGGCATTTTTATCTCCACACCATCTGAGTAGAGAAGAAAAGATAAAATAAATAAGTAAATCAAATGCAGAGCTATAAGCAGACTATTTGGAAAAATCTTCCGAATAAATTGTTTTGGATAGTAAAAAGAGCTGCCTGGGTTCAGAAGCAAATTTTAGAGTTCTATTAAAACAATAGATGAAAAGCAGTGTTTTGTGACATGAGTGTACTTTACCTCTGGGGTGAGAGGCGAGGTGCAAGCTGATTTATGGACAGCACCGAAGACTGTCACAGACAAATGTCATATCTTTCAGGTGCCATTTAGAACAGTACAAAATGATCGTGATAAACCTTACCTTGTTTTGTATTTCAATATGCATGCAAACCGTGCAGGAGAATAAAACTGTCGGTCCTCCTCAAGCAGAAACAAAGGAACCTCCCTCCCCTCTTGCTCTTTTGCAGCCCTGATAATCCTAGAAAAACCTGTGTAGGTGCAGAGCTTGGTTGTTCACTGTAACAGCATTCACCTTAGAAGACCCTGAGTTTTGCTCTTGACTATTGGCTTGTGATTTGTGCACCTAAATATAAGAACTACAATTGTACACCATTTACTGTCTTTATTCATAAAGGAAATTTTATGAAATTTTTATAATAGTATGAAGAGTATGTTAGGTGATATAGAGATAGGGAAAAAGTCTCTAAGGAAACTTGCACGAGATCTTTCCCATCACATCTTTCTCAAACAATTGCAAAGAATGCCCTACTTTCATCGGTGATATAAATAAAATGGGCAACTAAAAATAAAATTAGCTCTCTATTTGTTTGTGCTGTACATGTCCTCATAGGTGCCTGAAAGTGGTAAGCTTAGAAATCGTTGAAATATCTATATAAATTGCCAAGGTCTTGACATGACATGCAGGCCTGCGGCTGAACACTTTAACCTTCATGGGGTTCCCATCACTGACCTGAAGGTAGCTGTTCTCAGACAGCAAACTTTTAAAACTGATTTGAACAGGGAACTGTGTAACAAGAAATCATCCACAGACTTGATTCTGTTAAGTATGGTTTAAATAGGGACTATGGATTCTTATCCAGTTATCTGGATTAATTTTTGTGATTCAATTCCTACGGGTTTCTTGCTTGTCTGCTTGTTTCTCCCAGCACTGCCCCCATCCCCACTCTCCCCCTCTACCTATTCTCCTTCCCTTGCCCTTTGTATTCTAATTTTTCTCTCCTTATATTGTACCTTCTGCACGTCCTTTCACAGCATTTGATAAAGTGAGCTTTAGCTCATGAAAACTTGTGACACACACAGGTGCGTGTCTACACGAGATGCTTTACTGTGCAGTAGAGCTAATTACTGCACAGTAAGCATCTGCATCTACAAGTCCAGACACTTACTGTGTAGTAACTGGCTCTAATAATGACAGGGGGCACTGTCAAAAGACAATACCTACCTGAGAGCAGGGAGCAATGTGCCAGTCCCCGTCAGAAGACAGCTGTCTTCTGGCCTGGTGCTCCCTGCCAGCCCCTGGGCTAGAACCTAGGGGGAGCTTGGAGCTCCCCGTGGCTGCTGCAGGGGCCAGTGCAGGGCCAGCGAAGGCAGAAGCAGATTGCTGACATGAGCAGCAAATCTGCTCCCAAAACCCTACACATGTAGATGCTTGCCTGGGAGTGTTTACGCACGAGTAGTTTACTCATGAGTAAACTGCTCCCAGATCAAATGCACATGTACACACACACACACAAACACACCCCTTTGGTTAGTCTATAAGGTACAAATCTACCCTGACTTCTATGATATTTACCAGCCAATACTCTCCATTTGTTTAGCATTTCCATCTGAGAATCTCAGAGTACTCTCACATGTACTAACTATTTTTAACATGCATTTGTAATCATCTACGTTTTCTATATTTGGGGAAATTCAGACAGAGAAGAGCTAAGTTATTTGTCCAAGGTTATACAGGCAGTTCTGTAGCATCTCTCTCAGTTCCTAGTCTGGCTCCTCAACTAGCTATTCTTCCACCTCCCAGGAGAATTCAAGTACAGTAGAGCAGAATCTCCTTTTTTTTTTTACAGAAAGAGAATTCAAAATTTACTCAGCATGAATAAATCTTGATCAAGACCTGATCAGTTTTCAGCACTTAAAGAACATTACATGACAAGTACCTTCTGACTTCCAAAACCCCAATATAAAACAAAGCTTTTAGTTAATTTGTTTTGTTACTTTCTAAATGCTAACACTTGACTTTAAATCCAATGCCATTAGGAGTTAAACAAAGAACCTAGATATTATTCAACTCACAAAGAAATAGTAAAAAAATACAAGGCCAGAGTTTTCGAACTTGAAGACTTGCCTGCCTAACACTAGACACTTACAGAGTTCCCAAAACTTATAGATTTCAGTGCCAAAATGTTTGGCAGTATAGAATTTAGAGGGAGTTAGCCATATTAGTCTGAAGTCAGGCAGAAAGCAGGGTAGATGTACACATTATAAACTAAGTAAAGCAGATATATAGAGAATAAGCTTTCACAAGCAGAGGGCTTACTTCATCAGATCCTGTGAAGAGACTGAAGGAAGTAAAGTTGCTAAACTGATAACAGTGATTAAATAAAAAGGTCAGGGAAGAGGTGATGAAAAAGGGGGCAATGTTGAGAGAGGCAAAGCGAGTAGGAGAGACAAAAGAGCAGTTAACCCATTGAGGGACTAAGGCTTATAAAAAAACTAATCCAGGTAATGGGATAAGAATCTGTGGTCTTGGTTTAGACCATACTTAACACAATCAAGTCTGTGGATTATTTCTTATTCCACAATTTCCTATTCAAGTTCATAGATATTAGGGTTGGAAGGGACATCAGTAGATCATCAAGTCCGACCCCCTGCCCGAGCAGGAAAGAGCACTGGGGTCAGACGACCCCAGCCAGGTGCTTGTCCAGTTTCCTCTTAAAGACCTCCAAGGTAGGTATACTGGGGGGATGAGAGAACAGTTGTGGAGGAAGTAGACTTCAAGGTCAGTCATAGATACATTGGCATATAGAGGGCCCATACAGGTGCCCATGGCAGTGCCATTCATTTGTAAGTACTGTATAGGGAATCCCCAAATCTGAAATAGTTCTGTGTAAAAACAAAATGGGAGAGTACTTTGGAAACAGAAGTCATGTCCTCATTGGAGATAATGTTCTTTATGGTTTGTAATCTGTCCTCATGGGCGGGGGGGTTTGGTGTAGAGAGATGTAACACCCATGGTAGCTAATATGGTGTTAGCTGAAGCTTTTCAATGGAAGCTAGTTTCTTTAGGAAATTTATGGTATTTTTCAAACAGCTGGCAGCTCCCATAGCATGTGGAAATAAGACTGAGTCAACATAGCCAGAAACTCACTCCACGATGGTGCCAATGCCAGAGACAATGGAATGTCTTGGGTTGCCAGATTTGTGGATCTTGGTAATAAATAATAGTTGCTTGGCCAGGGGTCTTGGGAGGTGGAAGCATTAATTCTCTCCTATGTTTCCAGACATAGATTCTTTAAGAATTCGCCTACTTCCTTCCTGTATGTATACTGTTTTTCCATAGCAGTGGCATCCCCTTCATCAATCTGTTGTACGATGATATTAATGTTGTTTTTAAGGCTGAGTATGGCTCTCCAGTCTGCAAAACTGAGGTTGTAATGTGAGGTGTGCTGTTTTCTGGCAATCTATGAATGGCTGCAATCTACAGAGGCAGAAGCAGTTTATGTGCATGTCCAGAGTAGGGCTGTAGCCCTCAGATAGAGTCTAGGAGCTGTCCTTGTGCTGCATATGGTTCAGATGTCTGTAGTGGGTTGATCACTGTCTGGCACCTTATTGTGGAAATATTCCCTTAGTCTTAGGTTGCAGAAAAGGCTTTGAGGTCACCATACGGCTGTAACATATATTGAGTTGTGTAGTGGGACAGAAAGAAAGACCATGGGATAGTACAAACACTTAAGCTGGGCTGAGGGTGGTAGTGAACTCAACAGGAACAACCCTCACTTTAATCTTTATCAGCAACCTGACTCAACAATCAACTCCTTCAGATGACCTTGCTTAAGAGTTAACAAAACTGGGTGTGTTATAGTTCAGTGAACAAAAGTTCTACAGAATGCATTTGGAGAAAGATGAAAGATGCAGCACCAATATAATGGTGAGGGTTTATTATAGGCCACCAAATCAGGACAAAGAGATAGATGAGGCACTCTTCAAGGAGGTGAAAAATCTATCTAAAAGGTATTGGGATGGTACTGATGGAAGATTTCTATTTTCCAGACATATGCTGAACGAACAATACAGTCAAACATAAAACATTAAGCCAGTTCCTGACTTGTGTAGAGGACAACTTTCTGTTCCAGAAGGCTGAGGCTACATCTAAGGGATCATCTATCTTGAATCTTGCCCTGACCGACAGAGAAGAGTGGTGGAGGATGTAAAGGTGATGGGCAACTTGAGAAGAAGCAATCACAATATGATAGAATTCCAGATCCTGAGAAAAGGAAAGCACAAGGTCAGCAAAACTAGTATGCTAGATTTCAAAAAAGCAGATTTCACCCAGGTCAAGAAGTTAATAAGCCTAGTGCCCTGGAAAGGCAGGCTGAAGGATAAAGGTATCCAGGAGGGATGGGAGCTTCCAGAGGGAAGCTCAACAAGAAACTGTTCTAACATAATGCAAGCACCGTGGCAAGAGATCAGTGCAGCTGCACAAGGAGCTTCCTGGATGCCTCAAATGCAAAAGAAAAGCAGACAGACAATGGAAAAATGGGCAGATCACTAAGAAAGCGCACCAGGAAATAGCAAGAACAGACAGGGACAAAATC